CTGATTGGTTACCCTGCCTCAAACATGCAATTTAAATATAGATGTTGATACTTTATAAACGCACAGTAATAAAATCAGTTGAAAATTTTATATTTAACGTAACGTTTAAACCACATGGTCCAACTGGATGAAAATAATGTGAGGTCTTTAAAATGTATGAGAATAGAATAAAATAAAAAATCTAATGTGAATTTGATTGTAAAAGGCAACTGCTTCATATGAAGGATGTTTCTAGATTAATATGCTGATTAATATAAATATGCTTAAACATTTAATGATCTTTTTGAGTATTAAAAAAAATACTATTTGTAAAAAAAAAAATACGAGATTGATACAAAAATATAATATTTTATTCAGAAAACAGTTAAGTAGATAAAACAATGGTGCAATGTAAAATATTTCAGGGAGGACAAAAGATAAAAGTAAAGCTATCAAAAATTTACAGCAAGAACAAATCTCCAAAGTATCAGAAACTAGTTGACAAAAGAACACATTGCACAGTGTTCACGGTGGTTAAACAATTACATATTGCCTGTAATCAGTGGAAATTACTATAGGAGACTGTTCAGTGTTAGTGAGCATATCATTTTTTTAACATTTATTTTATAACAACAGAACAAGGATATTCTATAATGACCTAGACAGAAGTTTCATGCTAAAACTAAGTAGACAATATTCAGTAGCAATTTGTTTCTATTCTAACATCGGTGTGATTTAAGAGCAATTTTGAAGGCGTAGCTTTTACCACAGTGTGAGCAGCTATATGGCTTTTCTCCAGTGTGGCTTCGGAGGTGTACATTAAGAGAAGATTTTTGAGAAAAGCTCTTTCCACACTCCATGCACGAGTACGGCCTCTCGCCAGAATGAGTGCGCTCGTGAGTTGTGAGATATGTTTTCTGAGCAAACCGTTTACCACAAACTGTACAGACGTAAGGTTTTTCTCCAGAGTGTTTTCGCATGTGTTTTGTCATATGGCTTAAATACTCAAAGGTTTTCCTACAGAACACACACTTGAATTTCTTCTTTGGTGTAACTGTCTCATTGAAATTCAGGTTATAAGGAATAAATCCAACATCAGGGCTCAAATCTGACCATGTTGTGCTGTCTCCTTGTGTAGAGATCATTCCATCAAGAGGTTGTTCTTCAGCTTGTGTCTGGTGTACGTTCGATTGGACTTGGTCATCTGAAGGTATGGTGTATGTGATAAAATCATCAGAGCTTTGGGCAACACACCTCTCATCACTTGTCACTGCAGCTCCTGTAATTCAATAAATGACACATGAACATCTGAATATAAAAAAAAAAAAAAAAAAAAAGAGTTAAAAGGCTAGTTCACCCCAAAATTAAAATTTGCTGTTAATTTACTCACCCTCAGGCCATCTAAGACATAAAGGTCCTTTTTTTTCTCCGGTAGAACAGTACGTTTTTTTTTTTTTAGCTGAAACCGTGGTCCTTGGTGATTCATAAAATACGAAGTCAATGGCTACCGTCACTTTGAGAGTCAAAAAAGGCATATATAAGGGAACAAAAAATGAATACCCACTGCTCCTAACCTCTATTATGGGCCTTATTGAGGTCTTATTAAGCAAAATGACTGATCTGTGCAAAAAGCTAAATATTATTTACAACATTATTACATGTAATCCATAGCCTCAGACAAACAGGTAAGTCTAACAAGTGAATAGACTAGTCTTAATCAACACACCGTTTTATATAAACAATGAGAAACCATTAAAACTTACATTTCACCCCTTCATTCAAGTACCCTGTTCACGCATGCGCATATCACCACCAGCTCATCAGTCTTCAGTATGAGTCCGTACCGTTTCCTCAGTTCAGTGACTGTTGGAGGAACTGGAGCACTGAATGAGTTGGCAGAAATCAGCATCATAGGATCATATACGCCAGTATTTTGGCTCATTTCGAGTCGGTGACTGACTGTAAGTCCGAAAGTGAGTTTTGGTTGAGTGACTTGTAGATCTGGGCTGCTCGAGCCGAGAACTGTTTCAAATGGTTAAGTCTGATTTGGTGAACCAGTACTAAAGAACGATTCGTTCGCGAACCAGACTTCACTCCAGACCTTTTGCCTGAGGCTGTGGATTACAGGTAATAATGTTGTAAATAATGTTCAGTTTCTTGCACAAACCGATCGTTTTGCTTCATAAGACCTCAATGTATCATCATGAGCCACGACTGTGTTCCCTGATATGCTCTTTTTGACTCTCAACTGACTGTAGCCATTGATTTGCATTTTATGAATCACAAAGGACCATGGCTTCATCCAAAATCTTTACTGTTCTACTGAAGAAAAAAAACTCATCTACATCTTGCATGGCCTGAGGGTGAGTAAATTAACAGCAAATTTTCATTTTTGGGTGAACTATCCCTTTAATAGCAGCTGTTTCTCTCCACAAACCTCTTAAACTGCTACTTTCGTCTTCCTCAGGTTTATTTTTCCTAGAGCAATCGTCATCCTTCAGCGTCTCCTCATTAATCATAATCACATCTGGTTCTTCATCCAGCAAATTTATTGGCTAAATTTATTGACAATACAGAGGGAGTTAGTCAGCTGTATTCTGACATTGTATTTAAAAAAACCTAAGCAGTATGTTAGACCAACCTCTTCAGTGTTGACTGATGAGTTCAGGTGTGTGTCGTCCTTCTGACCAACATTTGACTCCTCGTGTCTCCAGAGGTTCATGCACCATTCCTTACCGAAGACATTGTAAATTGTGGGCTGATGTTCAGTGTCTGTTGAACATGTGGGCATTTGTTAGGCTAAACCATTCAGGTCATACTCAAGAAACAGAGCCTTTTGTGCCTGCAATTTTGACGTACAAATCCATTTGAAAATGTTGCAGCTGAGCTTTTCCTACCTCAAGCCAAAAAGAACTGATTATAGTCCTGAAATATACCAGTTGTTAATATATATTTACTAAGCCTATTACCAACTCTACTCTACTTAAAATGCTACATTATTTCAACCCAGTCACAATCATTTTGGAATAAATGTACCACAATAGTAGTATTGTTGTATTTTGGCATGCCTTGCAATAAAATCATACATTTTTATATCTTATTGTAAAACATTAGTGCCCTGTTCTAAAATGTGCTTTTGCTTACATGTGATTTCAATAGAATAACTGCATAAACCCAAAGAACTTCCACAGTTGCAAATGGCCATCAACTGTAGAATGGGAGCGGATGGTGGATCCTCTGAGACCCATCTCAGACAATCGGATGTCTGAAGTTCATAAACACACATCACAACTGTTACAAGAGGAGCAAACATTCGGGGTGGTAAATTGTAACTGTTTTATAAAAGGTTTGCATTTACAATGTTCTGGGTTCATTCCTACTCCACTGAACCCAATGTGTTTCATGTACTGTCTTCTTCATTCAGATCTTCAACATCCTCGTTATTCCTCATCATTACTTTCTTTTATTGCATGCATTCTTACAACTCTGTTCCTGGGGTTGAAGGTCAGGGGGAAAATGCCAAATAAGAAAATATAATTACATCACACCAAACGCCTATAAAAGTTTGATTAGAGCTTGACTACACCATGTGTTGTGTATGAATATGTGTGTAATGAAACAGGCCTAAGACTGAGAGACAAAATTTCTTTTGTATGAACTCAGCAGAAATTTTTTTTTTTTATTATGTCACTCTCTTAATATTATTTCCCAAAAAAAAAAAGATTTTGAAGTGTAGAAATACACGGACGGCACAGGACTAAAGTTAAGACAATTTTAGTATTTTCTCAGAAAAGCGTAAAAATTTCAGAAATTAAAGAAACGAATAAAGAATTCGACGTTCTTCTCTATTTATTCTTACAAAATATAATGGTGATGAATATGGACACAGAAATGGGCGAATATTAGGCCTACTACAAAAATAAATATACAAAACTAATTTGAATAAAAATTTAAATACAAAACCTGCTCTTCTAAAGTTCCTGCATTACAATCTATCAAATAATGTTCACTAATCTGTGAATTATATCAGTAGTAATTCACGAGAACAGACACCCTTTCCTAAAAATGACCCCACTTCAAGTGTCATAAAACCCCCTAGTCACAAGTCATGAGCAAGCAATTAAGTCCCTCAAGTTACTCAAGGGCACAAATATTATCCTTTGTGGGGTATGAACACACAGCGTAGTTTGCTAGCTCGGGTCTTTAATTAGCCTGCACATCCTCATGTGTCCCTCTATCTCGGTGTTTAATTTTGGGCAAATTCACAGTATCAACACGCATTTTATAAATCACCTGTAAGTCCCGGATGGCTGGATGATGGAGCTGTCCTCTTCATCTTTCCAAACTTAAGTTCGTTCTCCAGAAAATGACATTTCTTTTTCAGAGATTCGTTTTCGTTTGTACAGCGTGAAATCTCTAATCGCAGCAACAAAGAATTCTCCTCGAAAAGTTTGCCTATTTCAGCAACTGCGGTTCTCGCCATAATTTCCATTATGGATGTTAACTGCGTCTGAAAATCAGCAGTATTCATATTGTCCGTCGCTTACCAGAAGCTTTAAAATGTTTGGAGAAAAATTTGACTCCACTCTACTCTTAATATAGCTGGGTTTTTTGGCAGTCACTGTCCCTATATTCAGCACAATGTTTCTGTAGACACAAACCATAAATAGCGTTTGGCTGAAAGGAATCATGGGATGGATTACCGTAAACCACCGTATAGAAGATACGAGTAAAAAATGCAACTGGGTTCAGAATATCATCGATCAGGGAAATTAAAGGGGTCATATGATGCGATTTCAAGTTTTCCTTTCTCTTTGGAGTGTTACTATATATATATATATATATATATATATATTAGATTTATACGACCACGAAAAGAACAAGAGTATATTTATTTTAATAATAAGATAAAATTTGCCTTTTGGAATGATGGAAGAACATCAAAGTTTTTTTTCTCCAATAAAACATCAGTTTTCCAAATAAATCACACATTCGCAAAAAAAACATGAAAATATCCTGGTGTTTAATGCAATCAATAAATATAAATAAATAAATAGATAGAACAAGTTTCACTGTTTTCAGACATGACTTTGTATTTAATGCTGATCTGATGCCACATGAATCAAACTGTTTATCAAACTGTACATTTTTTTTAAATGATCTCTGTGGAGTGCAAATCAACAGTTTGAAACTGATATCAGCACATTTACTCAAGCTCATTGCCATTAACTAATGTTGTTGCAAGTCTGACAAGACAAGTGTTTGTTAAGATTGAATTTGGTCGTGAACCCTTTCCCACATTTTGTGCAAGTGTAGGGTTTTTCTCCCGTGTGACTTCGCAGATGCATGTCTAGAGTGCATTTCTGAATAAAGCCTTTTCCACAGAGCGAACATCGATATGGCTTCTCTCCAGTATGGGTGCGCTGATGGGTGTACAGGTGTCCTTTCTGAAAGTACCTCTTTCCACAGAGCGTGCACCTGTATGGCTTCTCACCTGTGTGACTCCGCTGATGTATCGTAAGTTGACTAAAGCACCTGAACCTCTTCGAACAATAGGAGCAAACAAAATGCTTGTCTCCTGAAATAGTGTTGGCACTGGATGTTCTTG